AACAATATGTAGTCCATGTTGGCCTTGAACTGACTGAGATATCCCTGCCTCTGCTTCCTGAGTTCTGGGAATAAAGGTGTGTGCCATTACTGACTGGCTCTCAGTTTTCTTTTTCCAACTAAATTGGGCCAATTTTTGAGGTAAATGAAGTAACTATATACTGTTTTCGTATGTAGTCCACCCTGACCCTGTTGCTTTCAATATGTTTCCTACTTCCTGAAAACCGAGATTGCAGATGTGTGCCAAAGGCTTGTGTTACTGTAAGGTTGTCGGAACTAACTTGTCACCAGTTATAATTTTCATGAAATAAAATGGTTTTAGAGTATACTTTAAAGTGTATCTTACTACTTTGCACTTCAAAACATCAAAGAGAGTGACACACACTTTAATCCCAGAAATTAGAAGGCAGAAAAAAGTGGATCTATATGATTTCTATGACTATGCAGTCTATAGAGTGAGTGACGCCACAGGCTCCAAACCTAAACAGAGAAACCCAGACATAAAAACAAAACAAAACAAATACAGTATTAGAGATCACATTTTGTAACATTTCATTCTGTGGAGAGGTGGCTCAGTGAGTCAGAGAAATTCTTTGTTTACTACGGAAGGGAACTTCATAACTCCCGGTAGCTAGCTTCCAACAATTTATTTGGAACCTCAGTCCATGGGTATCTGAGTCCAACATCTGATCTCCTAAGGTGTTAAGCAGGCCCATGTTGTACACACACATGTGCTGGCAAAAAACTTATGCACAGAACAAAAAAGAGTGGGCTTATGGACTTGAAGCTTCTAATTTGATTCCTAACACTTTCATCAGGAATGCCACAAATGTATGTTTATCTGGATCCAGGGAACCTAAAAATCTTTTCTAAGCTATGGGCCTCAACACACATGAGGCAGACACACAAAAACACAAATATAAAGGGAAATGAACCACGGATTTAAAAAAAAGTCTTAAGCTGGGTGTGGTAGTTCAAAACTTTAATACCAGAATTTGTGCCTGAGTTAGCTACTCTCCAGGTCAGCCTGTCTTTAATCCCAATGACCAGTTGAAAAGAATTATGCCATTCCTTTGATCCCAGTATTTGAGACAGGCAAGAGGAGCTGTGAGTTTGAGGCCAAGTTGGTCTAGAAAGTGAGTAGCAGTATAGCCAGGGCTAAGTAAAGACATTCTGTCTCAAATCGTTCCCTCTTTCTCCTTTTCTCCATATATTTTTGTACCTTTTGCATCCTGGTCACACCATGTAGCTCTAGTTGGCTTGGTGCTCAGACATATTTCTGTATCTGTCACCTGAGTGCTGGGACTAAAGAAATGCTATCCTTGGAATGCTTTGGCCACTTATCCCTGGTTGACCTCAATACCACTCTGCAGCCAGCCTGCTCTCAAACTTGCAATCGTCCTGCCTCAGTTTCCCAAGAAGCAGGGTTACAGGTCTGTGCCCCCTGGACTGTATCCATGCAACCTCTGATAACAATAAGAGGTATGATTATTTCTGTTTCTTGAAAACCAGAGATTTGTGGGGAGTTTTATCTCTTATTTGATTTTCTTTTTCTTTGTGAGGCATGTTCTTGTTTCTCTAGCCAAAGCAGGTTTTGGAGCTGATTTGTAGGTAATCCTGAAGCCTGGCCTGTGAGTCCTGATCTGCCTTCTGCCAAATACCAGGCGAAAACATCTTGTTGCACCAAGGGTATATGTAGGTGCATTACATGCGCCTAACTTTTGTTTTGGTTTCTTGACACAGGTTTTCTCTGTGTATCAAGCTCTGGCTCTTCTGGAACTTGTTTTGTACATCAGGATTGCCGGAAAATCACAGAGATTCACCTCCCTTTGCTTTCAAAGTTCTGGGATTAAAGGCAGGGCCACAAAACCCTGTTTGAATAACTTGCAAATTGTTTCAAAAACTATTTTCATCCACAGGAAAACCCCTACAATGGGACAGCCTGGGGACAGACAGTTCTTAGTGCTTGGAGGCCACATTTGTTTTTTGTTTGCAATCAATGAGACTCCATATGAAGAATAAAAACAGTGGAAAATTGAAAAATAACAGAAACCCAGGCTCACAGTTTTAATGTTAGGTAGTCAGAGGCTCATCATAACATCTACAGATCACAGACCTCTAAGCTGTGAAAAGATAATTTGCCTTCTTAAACAACAAAATTCAAATGGATGAGGTTTAGTTCAGTGGACAAAGTGGGCCATCTTCACCATCAAGGTTCATCTCAACTCATCCAGATCATCATCAAATACAAACAAAGTTCAAGGCCAGTTAAGGATACCTGAGGCCCCACCTGAAAAAATTAGTGGGGTAATGATGGGACATGCCTTAATCCCAGCAGGTGGTATGCAGAGTCATGCTGATCTCATAGTTGAATTTGATTGATCTTTCTGTAGCAGGCTTTGAATCAGTTTGTAGTTGAGCCTGAAGCCTGGCCTGTGAGTCCTCATCTGCTTTCCACCAGAAACCAGGAGAAACAGTATTGTTGTACTAAGCTGGTGTGCCTAACTTTTCTTTTGTTTTCATGACACAGGTTTTCCCTTTGTAACTGCCCTGGCTCTTCTGGAATTCACTTTGTTCATCAACTTGCATCAAACTCACAGAGAATCACATCCTTTTGCATCCAAAGTGCTATGAAAAAGGCAGGTGCCACCAAGCCATGTTTGAATAACTTCTATAATGTTTCAAAATATGTTTTTTTTTCAGGAAAGCCCGTAAAATGGGACATTATGGGGAGCAGTCAGTTCTTAGTACTTGGAAGCCACATTTGTTGACTCTTTGCAACCAACTAGACTCCACATGAAGAATAAAAATCAGTGGAAAATTGAAAAATGACAAAAAAGCATGCCCATAGTTTTAATGTTAGTTTGATTGAGCCTCATCAATACAACTGCAAGTCAGAGGTCTATGTGAGATGTGAACTGATAATTTGCTTTCTCAAATGACAATATTCAAATGCATGAGGTTTAATTCTTAGTCAGACTTGGCCATCCTCAGCATCAAATCCTTTGTGTGGTGGGCCATGGTGATCATGGTTAATCCAAACTGCTCCAGGTTACCATCGTATACTAAGAATGTTCAAGGACAGTTAATGGTACACATGGTCCTAAAAAATTTATGGGGCAGTGTTAGGATACACCTTTAATCCCAGCAGATTGTACGCAGAGTCAGACATATTTGATAGTTTGAGTGTAGCTTGGTCTACAGAATGTGTGACAGAAGGAAGCAGCAGGAGACATTGGTAAAAGCATACCCAATGTCTGTGGACCTCAAACTCAGTGTCTGTGAGACAGTGGGATCAGAAATTTTTACTAATCAAAAGGCATCAAAGAGTAAGTGTCCTGCCTGAGCTAAAGAAAACCCAAGTCTAGTTCTGTCCTCTGACTTAGATAGGAAAGGATTTCCCACCGAAAATGTGAACATAACCGGTGTTTTCAAGCTTTCCTGACTGAAAGGTAATGGCAACATACACAATTTGTCTATTACCTCCACATGTGGGCGCTAGAATGAGTGCACCAGAACACATACATAATGAAAATATGTCAACACAAACAGAGTGAAATTCTCTGTGTAGTGATGGCCATCCTGGAATTTCCCTGAGGTCTATGTTGCATCTACCTCCCATATCCTGGATGAAAAGTATGTGCCACCTCAGCCTGGATGGTTGATTTTCTTTTAATGAATTAGTTATACTAAAATATGTCATAAATATACTTTATCTTCTGTTTATATTTCACTTAGTATTGGGGATTTATGCAAGGATTTCCCACAAAGATGGAAAAGAGTTCTGTCACTGCCTCCTCAAGCACTGGATTGTTAATTTTGCAATAATTCATTACTGTAGTTCATTTTAATCCTCTGTGAAGGTAACAAAATTTCCTGGGAGTTGACCCATTAAACTGAGATGGGCCATCACAGAGATTTCCAGAACAAACAATAGGACACATGATCTTACAAATCACTGCAGTGTGAAGTGGCAAAACACCCGGGAAACAAGCTAAGGGATGCAATCGACAGCATAGAAGCCAGCATCAGACCTCTGCCCAGGGACTGCATACAGGGGATTTGGGGGAAATGAGTCCTTGGCACATCCTTTGACCTGGGGAGCAGAGGGAGGCTCTGGATTGCCCATGAAGTGGAGCTTTGTGGCGGTAGCAACATGAATGAAATGAGTTATAGCCAGACAGTTGTAATACTTAACTAGTCCTACTCCATCAACAAGGGGTGGCAAAACTGTTAGGGGGATACCCTTCCATCCCAGCATAAAAGAGGCTGAGGCAAGCAGATCTTTTTGAGGTTGAGCCTGGTCTATACAGTGAGATCCAAGAGAGCCAGCCAGGGCTATGAGGAGAAACCCTGTGAAATAAAAAGAGCCTGCTCTTGTGGCACACAACTTTAATCCCCCATTCCAGAGCAAGAGGAAAGCACATGCAAATCTTTGCCATTGAGGACAGCCTGATGAATATAGTTTGTTCCAGGACAGTCAGGGCTACATGGAGAAGCCCTGCCTCAGAAAAGGAAAAAGGGAGGGGTGGCAGCAATCAGAAGGAATAGGAGGACCTTTGGAGTCCTGAGTTGAGACCTTTTAACTGACATGGTCTCCAAGTAGTGAAGGACACATTTTAACTAGGTTCAAGCCCCAAGATTGGGTACTAAGAGGGTGTGGCAAAGGATGCGTTCGAGTTTTGGGTCCTCACAAAAGCAGCAGTGATTATATCTTCTCAATGATGTAAGTCAGCCTCAATTATACAAAGCTCCTAAAGGGTGTAGCTATAGACTGGGTGGGGCCATTTAGTGGGTGGGGTCTGGTGGAATGATGGGGAAAAGTTGCAGTTCCTGGGAGGGGCCACATTGGAAAACTATTTAAGTCAGATCCATGGACTGTGGTTACACACAGCAGCAGCAATCTAGTGAAGACTGGGTTGTATGTGCCATAGGTTGGTCTTAAACTCCTGATAAAACAAAGGATGACCATCAACTTCTGATCCTATATTCACCTCCTAGTTGTTGGATCACAGAGGAAGCCAATTCATCCTATTGGCTACAGCTGTTGACACAGTTAATGCCACACCCATGTCAGGGTCAAAAGAGATGAGTTGGAGGAGCCAAAGAAGATGACCCGAGAAGACCGGAGGAAAAATACGGAGCTAGAAGAACAGAGAAAACTGGGCAATGCTACTGCAGAAGTTGATGAAGAGGGAAAAGATATCAACCCTCATATTCCTCAGTACATTTCTTCAGTTGCATGGTACATTGATCCATCCAAAACACCCACTTTAAAGCATCAGAGAAAACAGCCAGAAAAAGAGAAGCAATTCAGTTCCTCTAGGGAATGGTACAAGAGAGGTGTAAAGGAGAATTCTGTAAGTACCAAGTACGGCAAAGGGGCATGTGAAAATGGTGGGGCCATGACCCACAAGAATGAAGATTGCTTCAAGAGGCCAAGGCGTGTTGGAGCTAATTTCACAGGCACTAGCATCGCTCCAGAGGAGCACATCCAGCCTCAGCTGATGTTTGACTATGGTGGGAAGAGGGACTGACGGAATGCTTACAGCTCAGAAGAGCCTGTGGAAACCGTTGAGGAGTACAACAAACTTTACTTGGCAAAATGAAGTTTGAAAACCCTGAAACTCAAAGAAGAGTTAGCGTCTGGAAAATTAATGGGACAAGCTAATTCTCCAAAACATCAGTGGGGACAAGAAGAACCCAATTCTCAGAAGAAAAAGGATCATAACAGTGAAAAGGAGGATGAAGATAAATATGCAGATGATATTGACATGCCTGGGCAAAATTTCATCTCTAAGAGGTACATTACTGTTCAGAATCTCAGGATTCGAGAAGATACAGCAAAATTTAGAAATTTAGATCCAAACTCTGCCTATTACAATCCAAAAACTAGAGCAATGAGAGAGTATCCTTATGTCAATACAGGAAAGAATCCAGACGAAGTGAGTTATGCTGGAGATAACTGTGTTAGATACACAGGAGACACCTGTTCAATGGCTCAAACACAATTGTTCACTTGGGAAGCCTATGGCAAAGGAACTGAAGTACATCTCCAGGCAGATCCTACAAAACTAGAGCTGCTGTATACGTCCTTCAAAGTCAAAAAAGAAGACTTCAAGGAGCAGCAGAATGAAAGCATCCTGGAAAAGTATGGTGGCCAAGAACACTTGGATGCTGCTCCAGCTGAGCTGCTGTTGGCCCAGACAGACTATGTGGAGTACTCCAGGCATGGGACAGTCATGAAAGGCCAGGAGCGGACTGTGGCCTGCTCCAAGTATGAGGAAGACGTGAAGATCCACAACCACATGCACATCTGGGGATCTTACTGGAAAGAAGGCCAGTGAGGATACAAATGTTGCCACTCATTCTTCAAGTATTCCTATTGCACTGGAGGCACTGGGAAGGAGAGGGTTCACTCAGAGGAGTGTATTATAAATGGTGCAACTGGAGAAGAATCTGTGATGAGACCTCAAACCCTCATGCAGCTGCACCAGGAAAAACTAAACCCTCATGCAGCTGCACCAGGAAAAACTAAACCCTCATGCAGCTGCACCAGGAAAAACTACCAGGAAAAACTAAACACCAGGAAAAACTAAACCCTCATGCAGCTGCACCAGGAAAAACTAAAAGAGGAGAAGAAGAAAAAGAAGAGGAAGAAACACCAGAAGAGCAGTTCCCACAGTGACAAGGACAGGAAGCACAAGAAACGGAAAAAGGCAGTGAATGCAGAGGAGACCCGACTTCTCCATGTCAAAGAGATCATGCAGATTGATGAGTGGAAGAGACCTTACAGCAGCATATGTGAGACTCAGGAGCCCAATGAAGAGGAAATGGAGGCCTACAGAATGAAACAGCAGAGGCCAGACGACCCCATGGTGTCTTTCCTGGGTTACAGCCACAGATGATCTACAGCAGGCCAAAGAGCAGAAGGCTAGCTAAAGGTCAAGGTCAGAAGTTAGATAACTTAAAGCCTTGGGAGATGCTGCTATGGCTGAAGGCAGTCAAATGTATAAAAGTTCTATTGATACAGCCAGTCACAAACTGTTTTAAGACCTTATGGAGAAAGTAAGACAACATAAGTAAATTTGGATCTGTTCAAATTTTGGATGCTTGTAATTCTAGAATTAGCTGTAACTTCGGTGTTTCGAGAGCTCCATTATTTTTCAGTTCAACAGACTGATCATAACATAGGCAAAAGGAGAGATGAGACATGTGTGCATGTTCTGTATGTATGGTGTGGCCATACCTTGAATGTATGGTATGTGATTGTAAATGCATGAATGCTGACAAAAGGAACTGCTTAAATTGCCTTGCATATGATTTGCCTCAGATATAGTAAAATAGCTACCAAAATTGCTTTAATTATAATCAATAAGAACATCCAATTGGTTACAGAAATTCTCCTAATTTTTTATACTTGTAAAGGAAAATCTGGAAAGTAAATGATGATACATGATTTGAAAAAAGGTTTTTAAGAAACAGCCTCAGGAGACAGCCACCTGTTAGACACACAGCCTCAGTGTGTCAGCTAAGATGCAAATGAGGCCTTGTCAGCTATAGGAGCTTCAAAGGTTAGATTAGTAAAGACTGCTCAGAAACTTCATGTAAATCCTAAAAAATTGTTTGGGACTTGTGTAATATTCTAAAGAAATTAGGATTAAAAATAAAATAAGAAAGGATAGCTTATAATCTTGGAATGATTTCTTGTAAAAGAAATTGTTAAAATTGTTCTAGGGTTACTACTTTGTAAAAATCTTTAAATGATATTCTAAAAGAGTTGGTGATCCCAATTCACCCAGACAGCTAACTAGAGGGTAGGCAAATTTTCTACTGTTAGAGTTTGTTAGAGTTTGTTTAATCCAGCATCAGTAGATATTATGTTAGCAATGCAAAGCCATGGGAAGCTTATGTGCTCCCCACAAAGCATAGGCAGATGCCTGTTTTGTGGCAGGAGGGAACATTACTATGGTCACACCCACCTGTCTCACCAGCTGAAGTATTAACCCCTTATTTTAAAGCAATAGCCTGCATGATGTACCATGTGGAATGCCATATGGAATGTAGATGGCATTTTGGCTTAAGTGACATGTCACTTACACCAAGGAGTAGGTTATTAGTTGTCTCAAAATAATGATTCATTGAGCAATTGTTTTTGATAAATTTTCAAAGAAAATTGATAATCAGTTTCCAATTCATAGGCTGCTAATGCATCCTTTTAGGTTCCCAAAATAGTAAGAAGCAGTCCCATGAAAATTCTATGTCAATTTTTACTAATGGTTCTTCTGAAAGAAGAACAGCTTATGTTATTAATGGTAAAATATTCAGAAAAGATGGTCCCAAACACAGCTCAGAGACTCGTTATGGGCTGTTGCAATGGTCTCTCAGAATCTAATTATCTGATTCATTTAATCTTTGTAATAGGAATAATTACATTTTTAAGACTATTTAAATTAAGGAGACAATTCTATTCATAGAGACTACTACGTTCAGGTAATAATGTTATTTGGAAATATCAAAATGCTGTTCACCTAAAAAATTGCCATGTTTTTTGTGGCACTTTGGGAGCTGTTCAGGCCTTTCCCTTGCCTACTGGCTAAAGGGAATGAGTTAACAGATTGATTAATAAAATTGGTAGAGAGGAAGGAGTTCCCTGAATCTGGTAGCACCCCACTCTTCCATCCTTTTCCGCTGACCAATCCACAACGAGTGAGGAGACTACCAGGAGAGGCCAGATCATCTAGAGTTGTGGACATTTAATTCCTGGCCCCCACACACCACTGAGTCACAAGAGGAGATAGAGAGACCCCACTTGCTCCCACTAGAAGAAGATATGGGAAGAAGACAGAATAAGAACTCACTCAACAACAGAAAGACCAGTATGACACCACAGAATCTAGGGACTCCACTCCAACAAGATCTGAAAAGCCCAACACAGAGCATGAAGATGAGATGGACCTCAAAAAATTATCTCGGCAAGATGATAGAGACCTTTAAAGAGGAAACAAGAAAATCCCTTAAAGAAATAGATGAAAAAGCAAACAAAAATTTACACAAAATGGAGGAAAAGACAAACTAAAAAATTCAAGAAATAAACAAATCTCTTAAAGAATCGAAAGAAACCCAAGAAAAAACATCCAAACAAGTGAAGGAAGTTCGTGAAACAGTTCAAAGCATGAAAGCTGAAATAGACACAATAAAGAAAACACGGAATGAGGCGATGCTGGAAATGCAAAGGCTGGATAAATAATCAGGAACTAAAGATGTGAGTATAACCAACAGAATTCAAGAGATGGAAGAGAGAATCTCAGCTACTGAACACTCGCTAGAGGATATACATTCATCAAACAAAGAAAACCTCAAGTACAACAAATCCCTAACACAAAATATCCAGGAAATATGGGACACCAT